GGCTGATGCCATGGCACTCTAGCCCAGGCAATAAAGCGAGACTCTGTCTCAAAAAACAAACAAAAAGCTAATGGCATCTGGTGGTCAAGTGCTGGTGTTATCCACTACAGCTTCATGAAACCAGATCAGTCGATCACAATGGATGTCTGCTGCAACCAACTGAACAAAATGAAGAGGATGCTTGTGATTAAGCAGCCAAGACTGGTCAATAGTGACAAGCAAAATCCTCTCATAAGGCAGTGCTGGACCACACGTTCCCCAAACAACACTGCTCAAACCACAGAGGCTGGACTTGGAAACTCTCTGTCATCCACCACATTCATCTGCCCTTGCACCAACTGACTAGCACTCCTTCCGGGCTTTGGACCACTTCTTTCAAGGAAAGATATTCAATTCTCAATAAGCTGTGGAAAACGCCTTTCACAATTTCATCACCACTCGCTCCCCAGGGTTCTTTGCTGCTGGCGTGAACAAGCTACCACTAAGATGGCAAAGCTGTGTCAATAGCTTAGGTGCATACTTTGGTTAATTGTCCTGTTTCTTGTTTGAGATATAATAAACCAGTGGTCCCCAACCTTTTTGGCACCAGGGCCCAGTTTCATGGAAGACAATATTTCCACACATGGGGGCAGGAGTAGCGGAGCTCTGTAGCCTGGTCCCCATTGGTCTGCAGCCCCGGGGTTGGGGACCACAGTAATAAACTACCCTTTTGATTGAAATTGGACATTTCATATTTAATGACCTAATACATTATGGCCTAGCCTTCCATGAAATATTATACGATCATTAAAAGTAAAAAGAAGAAAGTGTTTACATGATATTAAGTATGCGAGAGTGATAGTGATAGTGAATAGTGATTTCATATTATAATGCCAATAAGAAAAATTTGAGTGTGTATCTCTGTTTGTGTAGATATATTAATGCTAGCTAGATAGGCAATTATACATGAACAAAGGTTTGAAAGAATAAAACAAAATATGCCAAATTGTTAACAGTGATTATTACTTTGTTCTGTATTAGAAACAACCCAGGAGATCATTCTTCTTAGTAAAGTATCACAAGAATGGAAAACAAACACCACATGTTCTCAATACTAAACTGGAACTATTTGATCTACACTTATGTGCACATATAGAAGTAAAACTCAAGGAAAATCAAGTGGGGGGAAGGGAGGGGTAAATTTACACATAGGGTATAAGGCACAGTAACTGGGTGAAGGGCACACTTGTAACTTAGACTCAAACTGTACAAAAGCAAATTATGTAACCAAAATGTGTGTACCCCATAAAACTCTGAAATAAAAAAAAACAGTAGCACTTTAAGCTATATTTATAATACAGTAAAGAGAAGGTAGGAGAAAAATTAGAAATGATTAATGTCTTAGATACCAGACAAGAAAATTTTTAATAAAATGGAAGATTTACTGTAAAAGCTGGCACAGATTCTGTTAGAATCATGGAATGTATTATCCCCAGTGATGCAGATTGAAAATAAAATGGATTTAAAATTGGTTCAGAGACATTTCCAACGGATGCCGGGACACAGGGCCCCTCTGGGATTTGATGGTGTGGGCCTTGCTGCCTCACAGTGAGCCTAATTCCGGAAGAGGCTGGCCACTGCTCTGACTCAGCCAAGAGAAAGCCCACGTTTTCCTTCTGCACCAAGAACACTGGCGTGTGTCACTTGTGTGTCATAGAAATACTAATTTTAGTGACTAGTTTTAAAGAACAGGCTAGAAAGTCCCAAAGGCACCACTCTCTCTTCAAGGAAAAGGCCGACACTGTATACGACACAAGCCTACCTCTTCCATCCTCCCAACTTGCAGCAGCGACTGTTGTCCATACCTACTCACTGCTCAGAGTCACCGTCCCTGGAGCGTGATGCTCAGGAACACACGTCACTAAACTGCAGACCGGGCTTCTTTGGGCTACGTTACCTGACCTGGAAAAGGCTTTTTCACCTCGTAATTCACGTGTATGAGCCAACAGAAATTCTAAACTGAGCAATTCAGTTTTGCCTTTAATAATTACTAAGATTCCTGGAATACTTTACACAGAAGTGTTTTCAGCTGCTTGCTTGGGTAACTGGCAGCATATTCAGACAAAAATTAGCCTGATGTAGAAAGATTCTATAAAAATACCAGTCACATGAGTCTACTCATTCTACACACCAGAATCAGAAATATCAGACAGGTTTGAGTAGTCCAGGTTAGCTTTCACTAAGTTATGATACTATAACAGATGACATTAAAATCCCAGTGGTTTATAATAAGAAAGGTTCATTTCTTGTTCATGACACACAACAATTAGGGCCAGCTCCAGCTCCGTTCCATGTCTTTATTCTGGCCTTCCAGCTAAAGGAACAGGTCTTTTCTAGAATATGTTCTTCTCATGGTGGTGGGTTGGGGAGGGGGGTCAATGGCAGAACCACGTGATGGTTCTTAAATCTTCTGCTTAGACCTGTCCACGGCACTGGCATGGATTGCATTGGCTAGCACAAGTCCAATGGCCTATGCTGATGTGAACAGGACAAGAAAGTATAATCCTCCTACACAAAGGTGAGGGAATAACTGAGGAACAATACTACAGTCTACCACATAGTATCTGAAGGATACTATATTTTATATAGCATATACAGAATATTATAACTTAGAATCTATTCCAAGAGAGAGCACAATGTGTGAATAGCTTCATTAGCAAAGGACTTGAGTGTGTCAAGAGTTGTGGAACCATTTGGCCAGCCCAAAAAGAAGCAGAGATACTTCCTCCACTATATCAGGAGGGAAGTTAGAGAAGCCAGATATGCATATAGATGGGTTCTAGAACAAGAATCTATAAACATTTTACTATACAACTAAGCTAAAGATAAATATAAACACAAATTTAGAATAGCAGCTTGACCTCTAACACTGGTTTCCAGATCATCTCCCTATCCCGCCCAGCCATCCTCTCACCCCATCCAAGTAGCCCGAGGGGTTCACTCTCATTCCATGATCCATAGATTTTTATCTGGTGTCTCATTCTTTTTCCTGTTCCATTGCTCATTTCTTTATTTCGTGGTCCTTATAGTCTGCTTCCAATGAGGCACTCAGTCCAAAATTCCTCTAAGTACAAATATATCAGTTGCTTATTTTTTTAAATAGACCTCTCTTTCTTTCAGTACACACTGAAAAATGTTGGCTTCCAACTTTACTTCTTAAACCATAAATGACTTTTTGTTTAGTTTTCTGGTTTGCCCACCATTTAGCTATTTAATAGGAGCACCAGTCCCTGCATCTGTGTTCTCTGCTCCCAGATTTCTGTGCCTATGATGAGACAAGACACATCTTAAAGTCACTGTCATGTGAAAGCAAACTTCTTGTTTGAAATCTAAACAAGAATATATAGAACATATTCCCCCACTGGATAGAAATATGTACTCTGTATCATTTCCTATATTACATCTCTGTACATGCTCTACCTGCAACCGTCTGTCCTCCCGACTCGGGCGATGCTCCTGTTGAACCAGCCCCACCCACACTTGCTCGCACGGTCATAGGAATCCATGCTCTAATCTTGTGTGTTCCTCGGGTGCCATAGTTATTGCAGATTGCCAGCTTTCTCCAATCCCAATGCCTCCGTAGAAGGTATGTGCATCTATTTGAGGTATTTTTCCTGAATACAAAATACTTTGTTATATTTATTCCTGTATCACTGCTGACAAAGCCAGTAAAAGCCAAAAAATCAAAGAGCCTGGATTGCTAGTACTGGAAAACTCGACATAATCTCTTGTGTCAAGATCCAAGAAAATATAATTTTACTCATAATTTCCATTTCATCTGATTGCCATTATTTCTCATAACAGTTAATGATACTGACCAAAATATTGTTAATCAAAATCCTATGCTTTTGGAGGTGATTATATGTTTGTAGCATTGATTTTGGTGATGGTTTTATGAGTGAAATCTTATCTCCAAACTCATCAATTTTTATACATTAAATTATGTACAACATTTTGTAAAAAATAAAATTCAAAAATCGTATGCTAACAGTCAGTCTCTGAGCAGTCTTATGTTTAGTGAGCCTACACACACATTTCTGTTAACATCAATTGAAAGTTACATTGTCATTTTATCTTTTAGCAATTCAATTCCTCAGATATGTCAAGAGACTTTCTAGATGGAAGAAGATTAATATTTGAACTTTGAGAATACTTGATACTCCCAAAGATTCTGATTAAAGTGCTAAGTGTGTGAGAGCTTGCTTTACACCCCTGCAAACACTGGCACCCACACATGCCGCCTCGGCTGGAAGGCGCCCACGTGCGTCCTCCCAAATGGCAACTTAACTCCAGAGCTGAGGATGGGCGTCCCCAGCAGCAAGTGTCACTTGATGGTTATGATGTCCTCGGCTAGATCCTAAGATACTTTCCAACATCCCCTCCGATTTCCATTCCTTGCCTGGTCCCTTATTTCTGGTTTGAACAATAAACGATGAAGATCAAGTTGAATTTTTCATCTATCTGTGTTTTGCTCCGACTAGATACTAAGAAACACTTCAGGCCTGATCAGAGAATCACTCCCATATAGCTTGGATATTTTGCTTCCAAACTTGGCCTGCATGTTTAAATTCTAAACCCTGCTTTTACCTTCCAATTTGGTGTAAGGTCTTAGATTTTTCAGATACATGATAGAGCTCTGTCCACCTGTCCAGCTTAAGTCCTTTTTCTGGGTCTTTGTGATGTCTCCTGTCCTATTTGTCCTAGACCCATTCACACTGGTGGGCACTTTACTCTGAGTGACTCGGAATAAAGGGACAACCTCACCAATGATTGGTATTTCAAAACATGCTTCAAATGTATAGATCTAAGCATGTGACAGACATAGATATTGATATACATATAGATATAAAATATTTGCTTGTTCAATAATTTGAGAATTTTTTTAAACTGCATTAAATGTTGTTCAGATTTTTTGATAATTTTGACCCATGAAAATAAACTGATTTCTCCACTACTTTTAGATGGTCCAGTAGTCTATGAAGCATATTTAAAAATGGAGCACAGTGACGAGAATATTAAATTCTGGATGGCATGTGAAACCTATAAGAAAATTGCCTCACGATGGAGCAGAATTTCTAGGGCAAAGCAGCTTTATGAGATTTACATCCAGCCACAGTCCCCTAGAGAGGTAACTACCAGACAACAGTGGGAAATGGGACTCAGGACAGCCCCGGGCGGGCCTTATTTTTTTTCAGGCTTCGTTAGGGGCCGGCCCTTTCCCCCCCGTTTTCCCTTGGCTTGTTTTCCTTTTGTGGTTGGGACGGGGTTTTTTTGGCCAGGGGCCTTGGGATTTTGGGACTTTGCCGTTTTCCCCCGGCCCTTTCTTGTTAAGGTTCGGTTTCAAGTTTGGTTTTTTTTGGTTCCAAGTTTTTTTTTTAATTTTTTTTATTTCCCAGAAAAGTTAAAAAGAAAAAGGGATTCCTTGGAAGAAGAATTGGCCTGACCAGTAGAAACCACAAGTGCCATAATTAGGCACATGGAAAGCCCGGTGTCCGGGCGCGGTCTGTGCCGGGCAGCAGGAAGCTCATCTCGCCTTCAAACCAGCAAACCCAGCAGACATCCACGTCCATATTAACGCCAATCGTTTACAGCTGCCTGAAGAAAATAGTCATGAGTGAAACAGATACACTGAGTCTCCTCCTAGTGGAGAGAGACAGAGGAATGAAAATTCACTTTAAGGGGATAGAGATAAAGGACAGTGTATGAGATGTCTAACCCTCAGGACAGTCTTGCATTATTAACTAATTCCCCAAAACTCTTGCCTTGAAAATACTTGGTTTATTGAAATAACCACTTTTCTCCTCTATTTCTCAACTTCTCCTCACTTTCTTCCCATTTCAGAGCATATTCAGTTAAATAAACATTTGTGACTACTAAGGCAGATAAATTTTAAAATCACCAACTTCCCTTTTCCTTAAAAAGAAATCTCTATCTCATAAACTTCCTGGCTTACAGACTGCTCTGACAAACCACAGCGCCCTCCTAAGTAAGCAATTGTTTCTGAGACTTCCCTGGTCTTGGGCCTCGGGTTTTTCCCCCTACCCCAGGATGTGGAGGTAGATAATTACTTTTAAAAAAGTTTGTCTCTTATAAGTCTTTTTAGATACCTATGAAACTGCAAACAAATTACTCTATTCCACTGAAAAGGAGAGGGGGAATAAAGTAAACCTTTTCGGTATATGTGTCTGTCTTCAATCATGCTTACTGATGCTGTACGTGTAATTTCACTTTTCAGATTAACATTGACAGTTCGACAAGAGAAACTATCATCAGAAACATTCAAGAACCCACTCCAACATGTTTTGAAGAGGCTCAAAAAATAGTGTACATGCACATGGAAAGGGATTCCTATCCCAGATTTCTAAAGTCAGAAATGTACCAGAAACTTTTGAAAACTATTCAGTCCAACAACAGTTCCTGACTACCATTCGAAAGTTTAAATTGAAAATGATATATTGCAACTACTGGGTTTGCTCTTTTAATTTAGAAAAACATAAAATCAGAAACAAAGTAGGAATGAAGCCAAAATAAAACTATAAATTGATTTCTAGTTCCCAAATAGATCTCAAAAGGAATAGACTCTAGAACTCTTATAACATGAATAAAATCATTTGCAGCATTCCTATGCAGTTTTGTTAATATATAAGGAAAAAGTAGGTCTTTCTTCCTGACACAAACATACAAAGTTTTTACTGTGGTAGTCAACTAATATATGTTTTCTTATTAATAAAATTTTACAGTCATAATGTACAAATTAGTTCTTTAAAAATTATAACTATAGGAATTGTGTCTCTAGTATGAATATATTCTATGGATAGAGCACTCTTAATAAACTTGAATTATTTCTCTAGATAGTACTAAAAATAAGTAAATAATAATTTGAATTGGTAGACAAATTTGGTACTCATAGTAAAATCAATTGTATTATGTCATGAGCAATATCAAAAAATATGTTCTTGAGAGATATTTTACCTGTAAAATTTGTCTACTATTATATTTATAACTGAACCATATCACATGTATATTCTATATATGAAAAATTTCTGATGATTTAAAGCTATTGAAACTACATGAATTTCTTCATTTATTCTTGCACTTACATAGCTATAAGGGTATAAAATTTGGTTCCTATATTTGAAGATTTTTTTCCTTACAATGTGAATTCATCATGATCTTGGTAATTAATAAATTCAAATATAAACTAAAGATTTATAAATATATGTTTTTTGGAAGACACAATAAACATATTTTTCCAATGCAAATTTCTAAAGGACCAAAGTTGATATGTTATAACAGTGAGAATAGATAATATTTTTACTTTTCATAGTTTTCATGGAAAATGTAGGAAATTTAACACATTCATTTGATGTTACTTCACTGTCACTTCATTTTTTATATAGTTATTTATTTAGTTTTTAGAGATGGGTTTCACTCTGTCACCCAGGCTAAAGTGCAGTGGCCTGGGCACAGCTCACTATAACCTCTAATTCCTGGGCTCAAGAAATTCTACCACCTCAGCCTCCTGAGTAGCTGGGACTATAGGCCTGGGCCACCACACCCAGCTATTTTTTTATATTTTGTAGGACAGGATCTCACTATGTTGCTCTTACTGTCATTTTAAAACAACATTAAAAGAATTCAGATTCAACACCCATATTAGGAAGCGCATAATATTTACAAGTGCAAATGCTGCCTCTTATACTTAAAAGATTTTAGAAATTTTAAGTTTTATATTTCCAAAGGAAGAAATCATTCAAAAATGCTTTTTCCTCCTTAGAGTCATTTTAAGTGTTCACATTTTCTCTTGGTTTTGAAAAGTGGCTTACAATAGATTTGACCCTTCTACTGCGGCAAAGCCTTCCCTCTGAGGGATTCACTAATTCTCCCAGCACGCATTGCTTATTCCATGAGTCATTACACTTTGTTGTTACCTAGAAGAATAAATTTTGATGGAGTCAGTGTCTCTACAGTTCACAACATCCCAGGCATTGTCTCTGTACTGGTTTTTACTTTTAAAAAATGAGCGACGGGAGTAACCGCACAGCCGATCATGCCACGTTCAGCTGCTAGGAGGGGCGAGTCACTCACCCACCTGCCTCCCGCCCTGAAACTAAGGAAGCTGAGCAAAAATAAATGAATAAACAAAGAAGCATAACTTATATAATAAAGAAAAGCACTTTGATTTTGCACAATAGAAAGAATACTGAATTCATTGTTAAGAAACATGGGTTTCAATTATGGATTTCCTGGGGTACCTATATAAATTTATTTAGCTCTGAGTAAACTATAGAAAATTATACAAATTACTTATTCTCTCTGCTCTTCCATTTCCACATCTAACCACTTCATCAATGAAGTGGTTAAAATAGATAATACCTTGGTTCCTTTCCAACCTCAAAATTCTAATTACCTTTAGTACTTTTAAATTGCAAAGTTCTTCAATATCCGAAGGGTTTGGGGTGACACTCTCATGCTTGCCCTCTGATTTTAGATATTTAATAGTATAATATATCATTAATACTGAGCTTTGCCACAGAAGCACTCTTCCAAGATCACAGTGCTGAGGTGTTTATAAATCAGGAGCAAGCTCTGCCCTTACCAGCTCCCATAACCCAGGTCTGCCCACACCATCCACTGCTGAAACCATGTTCCAGTTCCAAGAAAAGCCTTCACAGATTGTAGAAAACACTATGGAGGTTCCACAAAAAATTAAAAATAGAACTAACACATGATCCAGCAATCCCACGTCTGGGTATTTATCCAAAAGAATTGAAAACAGGCTTTCAAAGAGATGTCTATACTCCTATCTTCACTGCAACATTATAGTTAGGTTGTTTCCATAGCTTCCATAACCTCCATATCATAGTGGCCAAGTTATGGAAACAATCTAAATGTCCTTCAACAGATAATTGGGTAAAGAAAATACTATATATACAATGGAATATTATTCAGCCTTAAAGAAAAAGAAAATCTTGCCATTTGTGCCAACATGGAGGAGATGAAAGACATTATGCTAAGCCAAATAAGCTAGACACAGACAGAGAAATACTGCATGATCTCACGTGTATGTGGAATCTAAAATAGCCAAGCTGAGAGAAACTGGGCTAGTGGAATGGCAGTTGCCAGGGGCTAGAGGGAGGGAGATATGAGGAGATACTGGTCAAAGGGTACAAAGTTATGGTTATTCAGTATGAACAGTTTCTGGAGATCAAATGTACAGAATGATGACAGCAGTTATATACTTGTATACTTGAAATTTACTAAGAGGATAGATCTTAAATCTCAACACACCCATACACACACACAGAAATGGTAACTATGTAGAGTGGTAGATGTGTTAATGAACTGGATTGTGGTGATCATTTCACAATGTATACATATATCAAAAGTTGCATATCTTAAATATATACAATTTTTAAATGTCAATGATAGCTCAGTAAAGCTGTTTTTAAAAAGCCCTCATAGATTATCCTTTCTATCATTATAAGACAGAAATTTCAGGAGAATAAAATATCAATATTCTTCACAGTATATATTGTATTTAAATTTGGGTGATAATATGTATAAAGTAATAGAAATTGCATGATTTACACTGGATGGGGGTAAGTGGAGTATCGTTAAGATCTTTGGATCAATGGGTAATGCTCATTTTTGTGGAGATCAGATGGTAACAGAAGAATATAAATTTCTTGAGGCTAGAGCTGTATCTTATTCTACATTATATTCTCACTGCTAGGCAGAGGACATGAAATGTATTACACTTGAACAAATAGAAAATGAATAAGTGAATGAGTAAATAAATGGATCCATTAGTTCAATCACCAATGAAAAATGGATAAATCTGGGGTCATATCTCCTTTACACTATAACTTAGCACTGTCAACCTTTAAAAAGCAATTCCTAGTTTGCACAGAAAACAAGATTTCAGAACTAACACATGCATAAAAATTAGAGTATGATGGCCTGAAATTGAACAATGGAGCAAATCCTCTATCCACCGCATAAAAAGACTGGACAAACAAAAATGAGAGTGTGACAATTCCAGCCAGCTAGGGACAGGAAAATTTGTAAGTGTATGAGTGTGGATGACTGGTTTAAGGAAGAGCAGGCTATAAAGCAATGCTCAGTCATCCCATCAATAAAACAGTGATAATTCTGGTTGTTTTCATTATTAACACATATATCAAATTTTCTCTTGATTTTTTAATAACTTGTGGTTCCCCTTCCGAATAAAAAAGTCTTTGGTCTACTTTCTCAAAGTCAGGAAGATGAATTGAATGAGTGTGTGAATAAATGTGTCTCCCAAATTTTCTTTCAATATAAATTCTAAAAACTGAGTTCGTAAATATTTAATTAACTTCTATTTAACATTTCTAAATGCAGAAAAATGGCTTTTGGCTTCCTTGTCATAGCAGTGACCTTAGCATTTGTCAGAGCACACCGGAAGAAAGAACTCGTGTCTGTTTCACTTGCTTTGTTCGGCACATAGCACAGGATAAATGTTCTATACAAATAGATACATATTGTATGCTTTTGATGAAAAATAGAATATCTAAAATATTTTATATTATTTTTCCAAAGAATTAAATATGGGAAAATTTTTTCCAGATATTTAGTGTTACTATGAAAATGTCCCTTGGGCCTCAAACTTGACTGAAATGGCATTACTAACTTGAAATGCCTATAAATGTATGTTATATCATATGAAAATTAATATTAACTAGAATTCTTATTAAGAAGCAAAAGGATTATTATAACACAGAATCAATATTTAGGGGGTCTATTGCTGAGAAAGAGAAGTAGCTGTGCAAAAGAATATTTTCCTTAAAAAAGTATATGCTTGATTAAGGAGGGCTGCAATTAGTTAAGGAAAGTGTTACCACAATAGTCCAATTTTATCTAAGCCACTGGATCTATTTATTTTCTCTTAAAAATAGCAGTTTAAGAATACAGCTTGAAGTCTCAGATATCTGAACTTGATGATGCTCCCAGCCATGATAAACTAGAAAACAATTGTTTCTATGTTTCAAATTCTCCTGATCTCACTCTATCAGTGAACGAGTGCATTTATAGGCAAGTAGGAGACGCTACACATGCACAGCTGTAATACACATATTCTGAGCAGCTTTAGAACAGCTTGGGCCCCTCTCATTCTAGCTATGCTAAGTCAGCCAAATACTGACATAATAAAAGGAAATCAGAATAATTAGCATCTTTACTACTTATTTCTCCCCTTGAATGGATGGGTATTTGTGCTCCAAAACACTGTGGGTCTAGAGTGTTCAGTTTTGCTTATACTTTGATTTTACCTCCTAAATATAATCTCTCTGCCCAGCTCTCTCAGCACCTTCACATCATGTTGTGTAAACAGTGTGCCGCACGGTGTCAAGAAACAAAAAGCTTTGGATTGAGGTACAAAGAAATTGGATGAAAGCCTGTTTGTTCTCCCGATGTTCTTGTACCGTTAGCACCAGCAGGCTTCAGCTTCCTCATCCATAAAATAAAGTGAGATTACATAATTGAGCCACATGATGTGCCTGTTTATTACATCCCATTACTAATGTGTTCATCATTTTCTTTCCCGTAACTAGCTTGGACTCAGAGTGAAGAGTAATTTCTACAAAACTTGAAGTTTTCAAGAGGAGGTAGATAATTAACTATGTATTTTGCATTTAACACTAGTCGAGGGAGTTCTTTTGAAGTATTTCACTTAGGAACAGAGAATTTAAACAAATTCTATCTGTGCTTATTCTTAAGTGTTATCTGTCCAAGAATTCTATGTGGGAAATATGTGTTTCATTT